TCAGACCTCGTTATTGCAATTGGACCAAAAGTTACAGAAGCTTACAGATCTGCTCTGCTGTTCAGTGGTAAAGACGAAAGTGTGATTACTTTGAATCCTGGAATTTTTGAAGAATTCCTTGTTGAGCGCCGTAAAATTAAAGGCTCAGGTAAAATTTTCCGTGTGCTGCTCAGTGCCTCATCCAAGTATTTCATGGTCAAAGGATGTGATATTGCCACTAAAGCTATCAATCTGTTACAAGATTCATCCTACCGTCTTATATTTGTCAGACAGCCAAAGGACAATGAAGATGAGCTGAAGAAGAAATTTCTTGGGTTAGAAATCAATCAACATCAACTGACCTTTAAGGAAAGTTCAAGGAGCATAGACTTTTGGAAAAGGTTGCTTTGTGAAGTGGATCTGGTCATCAAGCCATCAAGAACAGAGGGTTTTGGCATAAGTGGTTAGTGTGCCATTTCAGCAGACCTCCCTGTTCTTGTGAGCGGAAACTGTGGTCTTGGCATGGTGTTGATGAAATTACCCTCTGGTGCACAGCATGTAATTGATTCAGAAGACCCTCAGACCTGGGCTGATGCAATAAAGAAAGTCAGGGCAAAGGCAGTGCAAAAACGAAGAGAGGATTCAGAAGAACTCAGGAAGTATTACATGCAGCGATTCAACTGGAAGAAACAATGCGATGAAATTGTCAAGAAAATGTTTTCAATGAATGCAAACAAATCTGGTGAGTTTGTTTATTGTAATTTTGATTTAATTAGGAACAGTTTAAGTTTAAATATGAGTGTATCCTGTCGTTCACCCTTTACACCCTAACATCAGTTTTTAAGGTCTCTATAAAATTGTTTCTATGTTTCTTATAGCACTAACAAGGAGAATTTGCTTAATAATCAAGAGCTTCTTGACCTTGTAATTATTGCCTTTATTCTTATCACCTTAATATTTGATTCAGGGGTGATACTGTTGGGAGAAATAAGATGCTTATCACTCTTAGGGGCTTAGGGTTAACACATCCCAAGACAAGTACCGTGAGTTAGTCTGAAGGCAGTGTCACAATTGTGAACAAAGAGTTGCTGGTGATGGTAACAGCAAATGTCCTTAGATGTCCTTAGGGCACACTGAGGTGCATTTGCATTTGGTTTTCTTGTAGGGAATTCAAGAAAAATTTGAATTACCAAGAAAAATATTTTTGAAATGCATGTAAGCTGAAGTTTGGCCTTCTGTTCAGGCACATGTTGGATGACTTGGCTCTTTATTTTATTTTATTTTTTTTTTGGTTAGAATGAATGATAGTTATCCTTGACTTTCAAAGCAGAGTAAAGTCGCAGAGAGAAAGGAAACTAATGACCATTCAGTGAATGATTGCAACCTTAGAAAGCTGACTCCTGTTCATTCATTAGACTCCTTCATTGCATGATAGCTGCTGAGTGATGCTAAACGGAAGTTCTTTAATTCAAATCTTTTTATAATTATAGCGTAAATATGAATAGGTAAAATTATCACCTTTTTCATATTTCTTAGAACACAGAAAGGAAGCTGTTGAGTGGCAGTTTGATGTTGCTGAGACCACAAGAGATCTGCAGTCACTGGATTTGAATCGTGATGATGTGGATGGAGGTCAGTATCATCAGTATGAGACTGAGAAGATGAGTATTTCGGAGACAAGCCAGTTCCCTTGTACATACAAACGTGGAGACATATCACGTAGAAACATGGGAGTCGGTAATCTACCCCTTAAAGAGTACAGCAAAGTTTGCCTAATGCTCAACACCGAGCGAGATCTGAAATTTTATTACTTCAGGGTGCTTGCTGAGAAAGTTGGATTCAGCGGGGATGAGATACGAATTATTGCTCAAGGTGAAAATCCTGCTGATGCAGTTCTGCAGACCTGGTCATCAAAGAGAGAAGTTACTGTTGGAAACTTGATTGACCTGTTGACAGGTGAGGACCTGGAGAGAATGGATGTGGCAAAGGTGCTTGAAGACTGGGTAAATGATACTTGTTAGTAAACATGTAGAATACGGCTCCTCCTCTAGTCAGATTTGAATGTACTTGTTGTGGAAGAGCAAGCTGATCTAGTTTTATTAGTAAAAGTTTTGTACAGCATGGCAAGAAATTTGTAGACCTGGAGGAGAATTTTCAAGTTTTTTATGTCTACTAAGAGCCTCTCTTTTGACTCTGGTCAAGGATGTCGTCGATTAATGTTAAGGACACTAGCCAGAAGGCTCATTTTTATTTAATTGATAATTGATTAGTTTAATTATTTCTATTATCCTAGATACAATCATAGTTACAATGTTTATCTGTTTGTTTATATTTCAATTTGCTTTGTAATCGGACCTTTCAGCGTCACCACATGCATATAAAAGCGAGTTTAGCGTCCCTGTAATCAGTTCTTCGCAAGCTTTTGATTAGTCCTAATGAACTTTCGCCTTTTTGTTGTAAACCTTTGGCAAAAGCGGGACCGATATGTGAGTACCTTTGTAAGCAAGCTTTTGATTAGTCCTAATGAACTTTCGCCTTTTTGTTGTAAACCTTTGGCAAAAGCGGGACCGATATGTGAGTACCTTTGTAACTTTGTTTTTTCTAATTTTAGTTTCCCAGCTTTAGCCAAAAGTATACAAACAGATATCTTGTTGTAATGACGTATTCTCAATTGATTCGAGATTTAAAGGCTAAAATTGTTTCAGATACAAGTGAACGCCCACCATTTAGATGAAAACGATAGGCTGTTAACCAGCCACCAAATTCTTGTAATTTTTGTACTTTAACGTAGTTTTTTGGATTATTTGTATTAGTTATTATCATTTTAATCTCGTTATCGGCGTCAAGGCCCGGCCTTTTACACGCGATTTTGATTATGTATTTCGTAACATTTCTTTAGATTGATAGAACTTGGTTGCATTATTGTTTCAGTTTACGATCGACCGATCGTTCGATTGATTGACTGGTTGTGAGATTGATCGTGATTTGTGGTTTGTGGATTGCTTGCAAGATTAAAGATTCGCGTAAAACGGTCAACTTTGGTCTGTTACATTTCAATCTCGATCTGTAAATAGCCCCAAACACCTCGTTAACCGCTTCTTGGAGTGATACCGCTTGAAATCTTATGGATTAGATTTTTGGTCGCCGGAAGCGCTACAGTTAAATTGATGAAATCTTTTACTAGCACATCTATTTCATAAGGACCTATGAACTGAAAAAAGTAAATAAAGTGAACTCCAATGATCTCCATAGTCAAAAGCTTCATTTGATGTAATTTAAGAATGAATGTACTCATCGTAAGGAATTGAAAAGAAAAGGAATTGGCAGATTTGGTTGGCAGTCTGTGTTTCCTCGTTTAAAAACTGATAAGGGAACAACAGTGCTACTGGAATGAAACACAATAAAAAGAGATGGAACCCGTTTGGGCCTCTGAAGTACATTTAATCTCGTAATAATCTCAGGTTCCAAACCTGCAAGTCGTCTAGAGCGTCCATTTTTGAAGAGATTTTCAGGGTTAACTAAAGTAGAACACTAAGACCTGAACCCAACAGCGAATGTTTGGCACAAACAGTCGAACGCCCTCTGTACTTAACACATTTTATAACACGTGCTAAGTGCACTTATCTTTTTATCTTATCAATTTTTTTTAGTTGAAGTTTGCCATCCTTGTTAAATAGGACCAAGGGTCAGTTGAAGTTTCCTGCCCGTGGAGAGGAGCTTGCGCTCGAAAGAGTGGTCGAGGTTGTTGTCCATGCAAAGCAGCAAATAAGAATTGTAACGCAAACTGTCAGTGTCGCTGACGTTCCTGCAATGAAGTGACTAAACTTAAAATCATTAAACGTCCGGCAGTCTGGTATTTTTCCTTATTTCTCTTCGAAATCCAAAAAATGTTTATACTGAAATGTTCTACCTTTATTCACAATCCTCAAGCGCTTCCAGGCAGCCTAAAATTTCGAACTTGATGTTTTTCGCTAACCCTGTATACAGAGAACGAAGCCATTCAAACGCTTGATACTCGAGAGAGGATGCCAGCATCCATCGCACAAATTTGTAGCAAGTCGCCCAAAATTCGATTTCAGTCTTACTTTCACATTTTGTAGCCCAATATGTCCTGATAATTTTGGTGTAGTTTTTTTGTGAAAATATATTTTAGTTTTCGAGAAATGATTTTTTTCGTTCGACCGCTCAAATATGCAAATTTTCATCGTAAATGATACCCGAGTTGTGTGACCTCATGTAACGAATAAACTTCTGTCAACATAATCCTTTGTTTTATCATCTAAACTCAATGCCTTGTCATTGCTAGAGCTAGCAAAAAATATTTTTTGGTACATATTTTTGTCCGACATACTTTTCTTACGTCGAAAAGTAACATCAAAACAAAGACAGTTTTAACAATAACGTTTCGCTGACCTTGTACATAGAGTGCGAGAGATCCTAGCATGACACTAAGAAAATTTTCACCGGACACTACCCGACACGGTCTTCGAATAACTAAACGTCCGGCAGTGTGATATTTTTCCATATTTTTTTTGAAAAATACCAATTTCTATTGGAAATATTTTATATTCATTTAGAATCCTCAAGCGCTTCTAGAAAGTGAAAAAAATTGAACGTTGTCCTTTTCGCCGACTCTGTTCACAGAGTACGAAGAGATCCAAGCGTGACACTTAAAAAAAATTTTCTTCGGATTCTTCCAGACAAAATTCAAAATACTGTAAGGAAACTGTAAAATGACGAACGGCGAATGTATTTACCGTAAAACAGTTGACTATATGTCCAGGACGGCTCTTAAGAAAGATGATTTTTGAAGGTTTTCAGTGATCTGGGAATTTCGTGTTATAGGAAATTGGGTCACGACGCGCGTTGCATCAAGGTTGGAAATGGGCCTAAAATCAACATTCACAAGGAAGTGAAGCAAGAATTAACGATTGATCTTATTGGCCAAAAAGGAAGAATTTAATCCAATGTAAATTCTCGTTAGAACTGGCGCCATTGTGTTTCCCTCCAGTTGGAAATATTACGCTTAGGAAAGACCTTCCGGTAAAATTCACATGCTCGATCTCTGCTTGACTGAGACCCTTTTTTCAGGAAGTTCGGAACAAAAGGAATCTGTGGTAATTTTGGGAGAATATTGAGCAATCCTATGGAAAGCCTCAGAAAGTTAGGTAAAAAGAAGAAGCAACCATCGTATCCCAAAGGAGGTGAGGCTATTTGTATGGTACTTAGAATTCGGTTGAGATAATCTATAACTTTCAGCAAATTTCATTTGAGTTCGTTATGCTACCAAAATCGAACAGCGTTTTCACGTGAGGTTATTACAATCGGTAGATGTAGGTAGTCAGAGCGAATGGCGAGGGGCTAACACTCGAAACATCAGCTTTTAAACTCTTTACGGTGGCCAATTTACGTTATCAACTCAGTTGATGATACTAAATTACCCCGTGTAATCAGACAGTTGGTTGTAATGTTACATCAGTTTTTGGCATTAAGTATACTGACAAATGAATTTACCAATCACAGAGTTTAGTGAACTAACCATAGTTATAGAAGACCATCTCAGTATGTTCATGTCAAAGATTGGTTAAGTGTCAAAGTATTGGAATAATTTGCAAGCTTCTCTTTTGATGACTATATATTTTTATTAGAAATTGCAGTGATAACATAAGGAATTGCTTAAATAGGACTACCGTAATTTCCGGTCGATTACCCGCACGGCCGATTACCCGCACCGGCCGATTATTGCATACGGCGAAAAAAAAAGTCAACGGATTACCCGCACCGGTGGATAACCCGCACGTTGTTATTCAACTTTTTCGGTGGCGAAAACGTGACATTAAGGCGATACATTTCAGTCTTTCGATTCAGACATGTGCACAATTCTGTGTCAATATTAGCTTATACTTTATTGATAAAATTATACAGTGAAAATTGAACAGTAAAATTATACAGGGCGAGTGTTAAAAACTTGAATGATAAAGTAAGTTCAGTTCAAAATCCATTAAAATCTTCATCCTCAGTGTCACTATTAAATAAGTCCATTAACTGCGCATCGAGTACAGGATCCAGAATTGCGGTAGATGTTATTTGTTCATCGTCACTGATGTCGGATGTCTGAGATGCATCATCGTCGGTGCCACTTGCAATTCCTGCTTTTCTAAAACCATTCTTGATGGATGAAACTTATTATTATTTTCAACATTCTGGTGATGCATTTGGGATTTAAAATTACTGTCGGCAATTTCTCAAAAAAATCGATATCTCCTGTTCTACTGGGCCTAACAAGTCCCTTAAAACGGGAAAATTCTCTTTAGCTCAAGCTAGTGAAAACTGGAAATTTGTTACTGATGCGCCGGATATCCTTGGATTATTTTTGTCACCATCAAGGTTTTGTTTTCACGCGTGCCGATAAAAATTTGTTTGTCACGCAACTAATTATGCGTGAAATAAACTCGAGTTGGCATCATGTTTTCGTGCCGCTTTGTGGCACTTTTGATACAATAAAATTCATTTGAGAGGTGGAAACGCAGGTAGGTGAGAAATTTTTTCAATTCAACTTCCAGAAGAATTTAAAATTGTCACATAACCCGCACCTCCCTATTACCCGCAGTGGCGCGGATTTAATGCAAAATCAACAGATTACCCGCGGGTAATCGACCGGAAATTACGGTATGTGTTAGTTAGCTTGGTCAGTTATCAGACCCTCATATGCAATGATAACTTCTGTGTTGTTGGCACATTCCACAATAACAAAAAATGCAGACTTTAATAACAAAGAGATGGGTAAACTTAGTGGACAGGCCATTTGTACCACTCTGGTCGTCACTGCTTTCCTTTGTAGTAGCACCTCTCCTCAAAGAATGAATTGATCAAGAATTATCAGATGGTCATTTGCAGAAAAAATATTTATATATGTGGAGACCATAAATGCTAAATCTTGTACCAAAAACAAACCCTCTGAATAGTCAATGTGCAATCAGTATTGATTTAACAAAGAAATTTAAAGTTAAAAGAGATAAATAACAGCAATATAAAAATATTCCTCAAGAACATTGAACAAAATAAGTTTTTTACTATCAGCCTTGGTCATCAACAGTTATCCTGGCCTAGCCCTTGATTTTCTAAAACTATGTTGATAATTCTTGCTATTCACTCAAACTTGTCTTAACTTATTATTAAATAGTTACATTGTAATTCTAAAATTTTCATATATTCCATTCCCCATGCAGCCCCTCCTTTCCCTGTAACATTAGATCTCTCCTGGCTGTCAGACATTTGAATGTTCATGAAAGATTTATGGTTAATAAAGGTGGTTTAAGGCAAAATAAAACATATAAATCTGAAAACAATTCTAATTTGCACTTTAAAGATTGCTGGCACCCAGATACCTTCGCTTGTAACAGGAAGGAATTTAATATGGTTGATGTGAAACCAGAGAATCTGATGAAAATGTGATATTATTAGACATTGAATTAACATCGTAGAAGACATTTATATGCTGAGGAGAGTGCTGTGGACTTAAGTAAGTTATGCCAATCGCATACATAATTCTACCTCTAGAACATTCCCCACAGTCTATGCTTCATCACTATTGAGCCATAAACTAGTGTTATGAAGAAATCATTTTGACTGCCAGTGGATATTCTACAATCTCATTCATTAGATCAGTTGGCAGCTTACTTCAACACAGCCTCAGAAGTCACACTATAAAATTCTTAGAGAATTTAGCAAGACATCATTTGTAGCTAACACTCATTTGACACTGAAAACACCAAATAATGCAAGGTTACATAGTTGAATTCAGTCAGATATCGATATGTGGTGGAAGTCCAGTGTTAAGGTCCTGATTAAAGTATTAAGGATTGGTCCAATTTGACAGACATGATTTTCAAATCTTTCACTGAGATAAGTACGGATCAGTGAATAACTGCAAGTAAGGTAAACATACAGGTGACTAACCCCCAAAAATTGTACTTGCATGCCAAACATTTGGTTGAGCTGTGCAACAAGGGAACAATTCTTTGCATTTTCCTCTTAGTTTGCTAATTGATCCCGTGTGGGGCTACTTTTCTCTTAATTTTTATTTGAACAACACAGACACAAGTCCTTAAGAGCTCTGTCATGATATCAGTGTTCTGTTTAATTGGCTGTTAGTGTAGAATGAATTGTGATACACCAGTCAGTTGTCTCGAGCGGCTTCTCTTCCTGAATTGTCAAATTACCCAATTTTGTCATTGTTTGAATATAATCCAAATCCTCTCTACTTCTAGACTTTCCATGGTGTAAGGTTACTGGTTATGAGTGTATATTCATGTTTTTCTTATGCTCTACAGTGTTAAGATTTAAACCAAGTCCTCTCTCTTTGCTGGGGTTTGGGAAAGTAAGCCATAAACTGGATTGATCAAAACAGGAACTGAACCATGCCACCATAAAACTGATATGCCATACTAGCTTCCCCAGGACAGCAATTGATCTAGACTTACAAGCCTTCCAAAAATTAGAGGAGGATGATGCATGATCCAAGTTATTTTGTGTAACTTCAAATTTGTCGGAATCTTTGCCAAAATCCCTGAAGCAAAAGATTTGTAAGACCAAATCCACTAATCCACCAACAATCACCAACCTAATTATAATTATTTTAATTTAAATATGTGACAAACCTCCCCATTTAAATGTGTACTTCACCATTTTAATGTGTACTTGAAATTTTAGGTATCTTAGTTCCTGAATGAACCAATCAGATCTCAAATACATTTTTAATTAGTTCTTTGGGATATAAGTTACTGTGTCCACCAATCAGATTTGGTTTGTAATGTGAAACTTACTCTTCAGCAACTTAGTTCCTCAACAAACCAATGACATGGAAGAATATAGGTCAGGTCATTTCTAAATTAAGGTTTGCCTGTTTTATTTCTGTCAACAACAAATAAAACAGACAACAATAGATGGGGCATTTCTGCTTTAAGAGCAGTAATGTTTCACCATAAATTGGATGCTATCTGTACTAAATTATTCTTCTTCGAGGTTGTATTATTTTTATTAGCGCTAGACGCGTAGAAGCTTTTTGTAAAGTTTTGTCACTGTTGTAATTTTGCGGTTAAAAAAATCAGTTACATTCAGTGTATTTCACCTTAGAAATATATCGAATACTCTGTGGTTAACACAGCAATGGAAACGCAACCGATTGCTTACAATTCCACAGAAATCGTTGACAGAAATCGTTGACAGAAATCGTTGACAGAAATTGCCACCACGGTTTTGCCGCGCTCTTTATCAGCGCCCGAATACTAAGAAAGCGATCAAATGACCATTATCCTTTGTAAAGACTGTGAATTCATTTCCGGTGAACGTGCAAATAATCGTGTCCGCGTGATAAAAAAGAAAAAAATATCGCAACCTTTTTATGCTCGTAAACGTTCTTAAAAGCAAGAAGATTTGACAAGCTTTCCTGTCAAGAATGTGATAATGACATTACAGTAATCGTGACACCGTAACACTTATTAGAAGGCAAGCAAGGACTTGACCTGTAGACGCACGAGAAACTTATCATCTTACTTTTCCGCCCTGTTTTGCTACGGGCAACGATTGCGTTACAATTTTGGATTTTTGCACTGAATGTATGCCAAGTTGAAGCAAATCATGCTACTGAATTTAACCCAACTAATTACTACTGTATTTACGAGGAGAATTAATCAAATCTGTTTAACAAATTCCACATACAAATGCTATCATAATAAAAATTATCTTATGTGTTATAACAATCCAATGAAAGTAACTTACCGGACTTGAACGTCTTTTAAATCATCATCATCATCATCAACCTTTATTTATGTGTCAAATCTAAAATAGCAGTTATACAACCACTAACTGGGGACACTAAATACTACCTAAAAATTTGAGAAATTTAAAAATAAAACAATATATATGTACAATTTAAAATCTAACCTAAGTCTTACATAAAAGGCAGTTTTCACATTTACTATCAGTCAATTTAGAAACAAGGTCTATTCTACGTATGTTACATTTAAAAGATGATATGGATGTCAGTTCTCTTACATTTCTTGGTACAATTGCCCATATTTTGGGTCCCATATATCTAAGCGAATGTTTTCCAAAAGTGACAGTATTAAATCTAGGTATACCAAAATCATTATTACGCAGTGTGTACCTAAGTTGTGGAATTTGAAAAAGGCTACATATGTAA